AAAAATCGGATTGGATCATAATCGATTATTATAGAATCGATGCTTTTCTTGTACATCGCCCATCCCTAATCCCTAGGATGGAAAGTGAAAAGTGAAAATTTTAACCACTGAAGTTAATCATATAAATACTATATTGCTAACTCAGTCTCTTTTTGAGAGTGGGGGGTGTGCCAAGACAGTGAGATAGAAAATCGACTTCTCGCTTTCACAATTCGTGTACTTCGAATGCGCATGCATGGGGGAACGTATGCGCGCGCACTCATGGCACGTGTATTGTAGAAGTTAGATATTATAAGGTATAATTAAAAGAAATACCAAGTATAACAAGATCGCGGCATTATTTCTTTTTTTAACTAGTACTTTTATACAAACCAAATAATAAACTCAACTTTACTATTGAACACGTCGGACATAATAAACGTGATAATAGGCCTATCGATCATGAAACTTTTTCATTTTTCACTTTTCACATTACGAATTTCACGTGAAAATGTTTACGTGAAAAATGAAAAAGATTTATTACATTCTGCATGGTACACGATTCGTAATGTATTAATTAACGCGTGGTTTAATTTGAAAAGATATACTGCTTAACGTTGATTTAGTTGTCTATAACATAAATATATTTCTCTGTCATAAATTTTTGCAATGTGAAACTTTTCACGTGAGTTTTCAGTGAATGGTTATATGCTCTTTTCATGAGTAAATGATATACTTTCATGTAAATTTTTTTCACCATCAAACGACTTAGTTAAAAGTGAAAAATATTACGCATGCGTATTATTCAGTTAAAACAATAGTAACATACGTGTCTAGTTTGAATCCGCTGAACGCACCCAGTGTTTCAATAAGCTTTATTTATGTAATAAAGTAAGTTTTTATTGTTATACAAATGTGAAATTTTATGTACAAAATATGCGATTTTTATATTAACTTTATGGAAATAATATTTCTATTTTATTTATAGATAAAGCAACATAAACTGATAATAGATTAATTAATTAATTTTAACTTAACCTAAGTTAGTTAATAACATGTATGTCATTTTCAATCATTTATTCTCCGTATTTATCTTCATATTTCAATTTTGGGAGATTAACAATTGTACAATCTTTGTAATTATGTTAATTTTTATATAATTATATAATTATTAACATAATGATATCAATCTTCTAGAATGAACGTTACTTCCGAACAAAAAAAGATTTTACTTGACTGGATGAAATTGCATCCGGAGGTAGCCAGAGGAAGAATACGACAAAAAGGAGAAAGTAAAAACAAAATGGTAAATTTTTTATGATATAATAATTAATTATTCTAGATAATTATACATATTTATCAAAAGCAAAATTTAAAAAAGTGAGTTTCTCAAATATACGGTCAAAAAATATAAATATATTATTTAAAAAAGTATTTGTTATTTGTTCTATCAGTATATTTATAACAAGAATAACATGAAATATACTAACAGAATATGCGACTAGCTAGATATAGGTTGCAATTTGCTGTCTTGTTATTAATTATATTATTTAAAAAATGACATATTTTGCTTGATTTCTGCTAATAATTTATATTCAATTATGTTAGCAAACTGTACTGCTGACAGAATACACAGCATTATGCAAATAGCAATATATCAGTTTACTACAACATTCTGTTCGTAAACTATCGATGTATATTTTATTCTTACTAAGGCTACATTCCAAAACGTTCTCTCTGAGGAAGAATAGAAATTTTACTCTATATACTATAGTATATAAGTTATGTGTATTATACATTTCGAGTAAAATTTTCCTCGGAAAAGATATTTTGGAATGTATCCTAAGACTGTATTCGATATTCATTACCAAAAATTTGTAGTGCACATAACATGCAGATTTTCATTAATGATAATCAATATCGGAACATAGCCAGAACAAAATATATTACTTATGGTGATATATAGCTGTACTACAATTGTATTAAGTATGGCTTTAAAATTTTAGAAAGAATTGTTGGAGGATATGGCAAATACTATAAACATAGTCAACAAAGGTCCCAGTAAATCTAGTTCCGAATGGTTTAAGGTATAATAATAATAAACATATATTATTTCAATTTTTGAAAAATATGAAAGTTAAAAGTTAAAGTTAGTATAAATGTTTAATATTCGTAGATATAATTAGTTGTCAAAATTATTAAGGTTAAAGTTATTATAAAAATTCAATATTTGTAGATAATTGTATCTGTGCTTTATATATTTTTAGACATGGAAAGACTGGAAAATGTATGTTTTAAAGAAAGAAACAAAACGAAGAAATTATGTGTCAGGAACAGGTGGAGGATCTCCAATAAAAATAGATTTATCTCTTTTAGAAGAAGAATTACTAGACTTTGTTACACCAGAAGCAGCAGGTTTAGAAAATATTCCACAAGGAGGGCTAAATTTATATCAAAACGCAAGTTCTGAGGAAACAATGTTTTCTCATAATCTGCATGATATACATGACACACATCCACAACCATATAAAAATAATTTGCCACTGTGTAAAAGACCATATACAAGCAATGAAATGTCATACAATTTTAAGGGTTAGTAAAAATATAAAAAATGATTATGCTTGAATATAAATACTATACACATATTAATACAACTTTATTTTATATTTTACATTTTAGGATCAGAAACTAAATCCATGTCGGCTGAAATGATTGATATTCAAAAAGAAAAGCTGCTTTTAAAAAAAGAAGAACTACTTATTCAAAAGCAATGTTTGGAAGTGCAACGATCAGCATTGACTGAATTACGACAAATAAGAAGTACAATAGAGACGTCAAAGTCTTTTCAAGAAAAGTGATAAAAACTTTCACGGTTTATTAAAAAGTGTTTAAAAAATCAAAAGTGTTTACGGCATACAATTTTTGTTAATATGTTCTTGTTTTCTTAATTAATTACTAAATACAATTTTATTTTGAAGTTCATTACTTTAAAGATATATAAAAATAAAGTCCATAAAGTGGCAATAGCAATACGACGATTAGCGAAAGATTTTAATTACTCACAATATAAAAATGAGTTAATTTTTTTATTATTCGTAGCTAGATTCTAATATAGTGTCTCTGATATTAATTCTACTGTCTAGTTCGCTAATCTAGTCATGTAATCGATTATATAATGTTTATCGGTTATATAACTTTATTATATAATGTTTCTTAAATTTAAATTTGTTTATGAGGTATTATTGTTATACAAATAAAAAAATATCTTTAATTAAAATACTGTTGAATGACACGTTCTCGTACTTCATTACCATTTTCAATTCTTATACCATTCATTGCGATATTTCTGTCCTCTGTATCTAATTCGTCATAATATATTTCAGGCTGTGGCACATTATAAAATTTCGCCATATTATAAAGAACGCAGCAAGAGTTAACAATAAGAGCTGAAATCAATAAAATTATAAATATTAATATTAGCATCACAATTAATATTCATCAGTTGTAATTAATATTTATTGTATAAATATTAATAGTATATACACAGTATTTTTTTTACTATTCATTAGTATTAATATTTACAAAATACAATTGGTATATACTTAATTGGTCTTACCAGAAAATTCTGGAGAATAATGCAATGCTCTCTCTTTTCTTAGGCACCTCCACTGTCCTTTTAACATTCCAATAGTTCGTTCTATACTTGACCGAGCAACTACATGAGAATTAGTATAACGAGCTGAAGGTGATCCTTCTGGTTGCCTTAGTTTTGGCGTTAATAAGTATGGCAGCAAAGAATATCCGGAATCTCCTATAATATCAAAATTACATCAACAATTTGAATAGTATATCATGCTATAAACAGTATAAATATCTATGACATTTTTATGTGTATATTATGTAATATTTTTAGTAATATTTATGTAATATTTTTAGTAATAAAAATATTAACAATGATGTAATACCTAATAGCCAAGTATTTATTCGTCCATCCTGAAATTGTTCTAAATGCACTGAAAGGATAGAACCATTCCAGACACGTGCATCGTGAGTTCTTCCTCCATGTCCACTATTTACGAATAGTATCTTTCCATTAAAATCACTAACCTTAAAAATCAAAAATAATTTTCTAATAATAATAATTATTTTTTACATAATATTAGTCACAGTTTTAAGTTTTACTTATTTTGGATAATACTTACTATCAAAACATTTAATGAGTGATATAACTTTCGATTTATATACAAATGCTCCCGCTCTTTATTTGGTGGCCAAATTGCTATATGGGTACCATCGATAGCGCCTATTGTACCTGGAAATCGACAATGAATCCAAAACCTGTATAATAATATGTAATAGTATTAAAAATGATAAGTATATGTATAAAATTATTTACTTATCATATACAAGTATACATATCAAATATCATATACAAGTATTACATATATGCTTATAATAAATAATATATGTAAAATATTATACTGTTGTTTAACGAGCTCAATATCAAAATGCTCTGTTGGGAATTTAATCCAATCTTGCATAATTTCATTAAGTGCTTCTACGACAGTGTGGATTGCTCCAGACAGTGATGCTTGACACATACATGATAAAAAATCTTGGCCAATACGACGTTGGTATGAACCAGAAGCCAAAAAACTCAAAGTTGCTAAAATCTTTGTATAACACAAAATATTAATTATCTTGTACATTACAAATTTATTATTAATTATTATTAAATATTTATTATATTTATTATTATTTTATATTTATTATTATTATTTTATATTTATTATTATTATATTTATTATTATTTATTTATTAATTGTTTGTTTTCATTTTATATCTTTTTAGATATAAATGCATTTAGGTATGCAATTATGCGGATTTGTTTGCATATTTTGTTGAAGTTTATTCACTTCAACGACCGAGTAGAAATGGGTGGCACCCAGTTGGACACGGTTCAATTGGACACGAGCCACTCACAGTGCTTGAGACTACAAAGCTCCTAAGCACCGGTCGCTGGGATGGTGGTGTCCAATCAAGGCGTAGTCAATTGGGATCACCCCATAGAAACTGTGGTAGGGGAATATGAACATATAACGCGAACAAACCCTATATTTTGATATACATTTTTCTATGTTTCTTCATTATTTTTTTTTTATAGATGATGTTACCTTTAACTCTGAGGAAATTGCTGTCGATTTCCTTCCTTGAGGCATATATGGCATTAAATTTAGACATAATTGCATTACCGCTTCCCTAGACAATCTACAAATACATTTGGATAATTATTATTATAATGCAACAGTTAAACATTAATGAGTATATAATAGCATATTATAACATTTAGGTTAGAAATCAGTTAGTGTTTGCTAGGACTATACCTATATATTTCTCGAAATCTTTTTTCTGGAATATCGAAAGGATTTTGCGTGTCCCGTAAAATTTTT